AGTTCCTGAGAGTAAATGGGATGTCAGTAGTTTTCTAAGTTCTTTTAGTTTAAACATATTTTATTGTACAAATATACAAATGGATCGGAAAACAAGTTATTACAACTTAATAGAGTCCTCTCCTCAAGACATATTGTAAAAATAGTGTATATGTTTTTGGGGAAAGGGAAAAAGATAGGTTGAGGAAGGAACTGTGGGGTGGGAGGGGGTGGGGGTGATGGAGGGGAGGGGGTGTTACCTAGAAAAACNTTGGGGAAAGGGAAAAAGATAGGTTGAGGAAGGAACTGTGGGGTGGAAGGGGGTGGGGGTGATGGAGGGGAGGGGGTGTTACCTAGAAAAATATACTTGTAAACTGAGAAATCGATCCGCAATTGAATAAATTATAAATTATACAGATTTTATAACATGAATCCTGGTAGAGTACTTTCAAAATGAACAGATTCAATGTAACAAATAAATCAGGCAAAATAATGAAATACAATTTCATAAACACATATAACAACTTAAATAAGAATAGAAATGAATTATTACTATCAAAACCTATTGCTGGATTTGATGTAATGATGCACATGTCTGAAGATATTTATGTTGTTTTCTACCGAAAGTTGACTATTTCCAAACAAAAGTTGTTCTAAATTAAAATCAACATGCAAGGCATTCAAATTTAGGAGCAGGGTATGTCTTTCGTTTTTAAAAAGTAAGCACTCACAAAAAAAGTGAAAGGCATTTTCACAATAACAAACTGGACTATCAACCAGATTTACTCTAAAAAGATCATCGTTAAGTGGATTACACTGATGTCTAAGTTTAGTATGCAAAATGTTCAATTTACGTTCACCGAAACCTAAGTAAATTGGTGGAGGATATTGTACATTTGAAGTTAACGAGTTTTTAAAAGAATGTAACTAGGGCAATGATCGTACTGAAAGGTCTAATGAATTCCAACCGCGAAGAGTTGAAAGTATAAAAGATGAATTTGTTAGAGAAAGTCTGAAAGGACGAATTCTATAATCATCATTGTTTCTAAGGGTATAGCGGTTATTTTCTGCAACGGAAGATGGCAATAGAGAATTTAAATAGTCTGGAGTTAATTTGTTGTGCATTTTATACAAAAGTTGGAGTTTTCTGCGTTTTCTTCTATTCGAAAGAGTTTCTAGACCAGTTTCAAAAAGTAAGCTTTCAATTCGTGCATATGAAGGAAGACCAGTTATAATACGAGACGCCGCTCTTTGGGTTTTCTCTAACATTTCTGTTTCATAAGTTGTACAACCATCCCACAATTCACAAGCATATTCTAAAACTGGTAAATTAAATTATTTATAAATCTTTAAAAGATTATCACGATTTAATAAGTATTTTAGTCTACGTAAGACGTTGACTTTTTTCATAACTGAAGTATATATTGCACAAATATGATCCCCCCATTTTGCACTTGAATTAAAAATTACACCTTAATGTTTATGATGATCAGTAAAATAAAAAAAATCGCCATTAAATTCTAATTGTAAATCTTCATCAATTTCAACCAAGTTTGAAACAAAAATTACCTCAGTTTTTTCTGGTTTGAGTGTTACTAACCAAGTTTGGGACCATGCGTTAAGAGACTCGAGATCTCTATTCATAACCGTCTGGATTTCTAGACATGAAGAGGATGATTTTAACAAAGAAGTATCGTCTGCAAAAAGACGAGAAGTTGATTCAAACACATCAGCAATATCATTAATATAGGTAAGAAACAAAAGAGGTCCAAGAATCGAGCCCGGAGGAACACCTGCTTCAATTAAACCTAAGTCGGAGCAAGAAGAATTCTAAAAGACTCTCTGGTGCCTCTGAAATAGGTAATTTTCCAACCAATCATACAATTCCCCTGAAATTCCATAGGATTTTAACTTAATCATCAAACCCTTATGCCAAACCCTATCAAAAGCCTTAGAAATATCACAGAATACCATACATACATGTTTTTTTTCTTCTAGAGCAATACAGATGTTATGATAAATTTCAATGAGCTGATATACAGTAGAAAGACCAGGCAAAAAACCAGACTGGTGCT